AAGAGATGCATTGTTTTGTAAACCAAAAAAAAGATACAAACCTGTGCAGCTGTAATTCCTTCAACTTCAACAATTTCTCCTTTGTTCAATTTGTGATTTCTTAGCTCAACTTTTTTGTTTCTGAGGGTTTCTAATTCTTCAACTGGCCATTGAACCAACTGTTTACCACTAGGATCAAGCCACAATTTGCGAGGAATAGCCTGAATTCCTGCCCATCCTTTCTTAATAGCATCTCTTGGAACAGCATCTGATTCATTGGCCCATCCCCACAAAACTCTCCGATTCTTGCTCGGATCATAGAAAGTCTTTGACGCATAAAAATTACCATAATCCAATCTCAATCCCTTCCATCCATCAATCATTTTATGATCCGGAATGTACCTATCGTTTTTCGTATCATACGTACCAATGGTATAATACTCAAACCTCGTGTCATCAAGACTAACTTTAAGAACGTGTTTAACGTTTTCACCATCAACTGATGTATCCAAACCATTTGTATGATTCAATGACACTGGAAAAAAATCAGGACATTCCCAATTTCCAGTTTTGGAAGAAGAATGAAGTGGATGTTGGGCTTTAGTCCATTTCAAAAAATCCCTACTCCTATACAATATCGCTACTCCTCTATGTCTTCTAGCACTACCAACCACCATCCTCCAATGTCCATCTCGACCCAACCAAGCTGTAGTTGGATCGCGAAATCGAGTCTTATTGATACTAATATCAGCAACTATTAACGGATTTTCATCGGGCTTGATCCATTCACGAAGTAATGGGTCAGATGCATCAGCAGGTATGGCGTAGTTTTGCACTTGAGTGTTATTAGCATCTATTATGCCGGTGTACAGAATCACAGGTATGTTATTTGGAAGAATAGTCACTGAACCGGACCATGTACCATATTGGTCGAATTCTTTTGACGGATAAATTGCGTGATCTAAATGAACCCAATTAATTAAGTCAGTTGATACTGAATGAGCCCAAACAATATTGCCCCATACAGCTCCTTTTGGATTGTATTGATAGAATAGATGATACACTCCATTGTAATACATTGGACCTAATTATTTAAAAAAAAAAGCAACGTTAATAACCAAATTAATAATAAAATGAAATTTTATTAAAAATTATTAGATATAAAACTCGATCTTACCATTAGGATCTATTGTTTGTTGTTTGGAAGCATCCGAACCAAGACCATAAAAAAGAATTAATGGAAAATGATTAGTAAAGTAATTTCAATGCAATTAAAAAGAAATTGTAAAGTAATAAATTTAAAAATGAGAATATTCCAATTAAATCCGAAAAAAAGAAAAGAACAAACATGAAAATCAATAATAGATTTTATATTATAGAGCTGTTGCGCTGGTCTGGCCTAACTCGAGATTTAATAGGGTTGGACTATGATTTTTGAAATCCATTTGAGAAAAAGGCTAAACAAGTCTGTTTATTTGTGTGACTTGAGAAATATCGGTAGGGCTGGCCCGTGGGTCAATACAAATTAATTAAAAAATATAATATAATATTAAAATTTAAAATCAAAGAGAATTTCAAACTCAAAACAATTAGGTTATTATTCTTATTTAAATATTTATATTTTTACTTGAAAAAAACTTAATAAATATTATAAAAATAATTTTATTTGTGCATTTGATTAAAAAGTAGTATCGTTAACATCATGTAAAATTATTTTGTCGATATTTATGATAATATTTTAAAATTATAATATATAATATAATTTAATAATTCTAAAAATAATATAATTTTTTAAAAAAGTGGGCTAACCCGGCAAGTATATAGTCCACATACTTGTGGGTTGGACGACCGTTTCCTGGCCCACACCAAAAATGGGCTAGCCCGATATGACATTTAAAATGTCGTGGATTAGCCTAGATGGGGTGAGCTAGCCCATATTAACAGCTTTATTATATTATATTTAAGATCATCTTTGGAATCGATTTACTGTATTATATATACGCTATATTTTTTTCCTTATAACAAATTTTTTAAATTAACAACAAAATATCACTATTATATTATAAATGATCATGACAATTCATAAAATATCTAGGTAATGTAAAACAAAATATTTGTGTTTTAAGCATATTATTAACAGAGAAATTTACTGTAGCTTTAAACATATAATTCATGCATGGGGACTTTAACTTGTAAGTTCATTTTAACAAATATTTATGGGATTCAATTGAATCTAATATTTATATGATGTATTTAGATTAAACACGAAATTTAAGGAAAAAAATATAAAACTTATGATTTGAAACATATTATAAATCATTTCACTAAAGTGAAATTGTTTCTAAATTTAGAATGACATTATTCCCTTTTAAAATAAGATAAACATAAATTAGAATTTAACTAATAATTATAAAATTAGAATTCCTAATTTCTGATATATTTTAATATTAAATTAATTGTATGTTAGTTACGAATATATTTTAATTATTAATGCTTTCTTGATTACTATTTAAGAAAATTATTTTTATTTGGATAAAGCAGTATCTAAAATGAATTGAATTTATCCGTAGTATCAGCTTTGGAGAAGATATCATCCAAAATTACTTTAAATTAATTAATATATACGTTAATTAAATAAGGAATAATAATTTATGATCATTAATGAAAAATAACAATTTGTTAGGAGGACAAAATTGTCCTTTGACATGGTTATTAGTGTATTTACTATTTTTAGTTTTAACTAACTAAACTTGGTCTAGAATATACATTTATAATAATTATTTTCATATATTATCTAAAAGAAAAAAAATCATATATTATCTCAAATATAAATTAAAAACATAAAAAAATATTAATTCAACACATAGCAAAACCCTTAAACCACACTATCCAAATCTATTGATATAGTGACATAAACAATATTTAGCACCACCACTACCTTAATAGAAAAAAAAACCAACTAATTAATTTTTGTTAAGAAAAGTACATATACAAATAATATTTTGGATCACAGAAAATAAAATCTTATTATTGACAATATTTTATAACAACAATTACACATAGCCATCAACTTGTATAAGATAGAAAATACATACCATTAATCCAATGTTTAGGTGGCTGAAAATGATAACCAGTTCGATGATATTTTATTGTATTTGTTGAACTCAATGATTGCAAATTTCTAAAAACTTCATGAGAAGCTTTAATCCCATTAAAGAAAAACAATAACAAAATAATTATCACTAAAAAGGGACAAATAAAACAATTCTTTAAAAAAAACATTTTTCTTATAGAGAGTATTTTGAAAAAATAAAAGAAACTTAGGAAGAAGATGAAAGAGTGTAGAGTGTATTTATAGGAAAAAAAATAAAGATTAGTCAGTATTTATAAGGAAAAATAATAAAATTAGTCAACAAAAAATATAAAAAAATAAATGGTCAAAGATTGTTATAACTTATCTACCTATAGATCGCATCATTGTCCTTATATAAAAAATAAAAAAATAATAATAAACCCAAAATATACATTATAATTCAACAAATACCTATAATTGTTCCATTTTCCCAAAATAATGTGTATCTAAAATATCTTGATCCATATCAATTTTGATTATCTTGCCAAAAATGTTTATTCTCTTTACTTTTTATACTAACACATGAAATTAATAGCATAATAGCATAACAGCATAAAATCTAATCTTTTATGTAGTATTAGAACCTATAAATTAGGATCTTCAAAATCAGATCGTAACCAATAATTCAATTGTAAAATTGGATACATATTAAATTATCAGATTAACATTTGTCAATGGATTAAAATTTTATATAGTTAACAGTTTATCGGTATGGGAGGCGACCGTGTAGTTCCTTTATTGGTAAACACGTTAAGAAGTATCATCGTAATAACATTTTTACGGTAAGCATATTATTTATTAAGTAAATACTAATATGCTTGTACCCTCAAAACTTAGACTTTCATATTTGTCTCATTGTGATTTACAATTACTGAATTACCAACTTAGATAGACTTAGAAAAACTGATTTGTTGGATGAGAGATCAATCTAGTTGTGAGTGAAAGTAAAAGATGAAATATTCGACTCAATTACACCACTCGATAATCGATCATTAATTCCTAATCTGATAATGAATTGATAACTTATTAATTGACTAGTGAATAAGTATATTTAAAACTCGATATCCGATAAGCCAAACAATTAAGTATAATTATCCCATCCGATCCGTCTAATAAGCAACCTCAATATTACATTTATGTAGATAAAATATTATATACTAAATAATAAATTTAAATTCAATTTTTCCTAAAAGACAAAATTTACTTTTAAATATGAAGGTTTTATTCCCTTTTTCTTGCCATAATTTACAAAAATCATACGGTTAAGAAAAATATTTGAAATCTCATTTTATTCTCTTACTATGTGATCTCATTTCTCTCTATCCTTATTTATATATCCGATGATTAATGTTAAATTTTTTTAAAAAATATTTTTGCTAGAAATTTACGGGATATAAAGATAACATTTGTATATTTATAGGATAAAATATATATATATTTAATTTAATATATATATAATGTCCTTTTGGCTGTTAAATATGTGACTTGAGTTTTGTTATAATCTTTCCTTTTTTCGTCTAGGTTTGCCCGGAAGGGCGGACCCACGCCCGTCGGGTGCTCGAGCACCCATTAATTTCGTTACGAAATATATATATCTATGTAGAAATCGATAGGTAGTTGTATAAAATTAACATAAAGCACCTAATGAATAAATGATATAGTTGGCCCAATGATTTTTGGATGGGTACTTAAGACTCTCTTAGTGTTGTTGTACCAAGGTTTGAATCTCATTGTTCACACATATTTTTTACGAGTTTTCTTTGTATGTGGTTTATCTGCTCAGCTATAGTCTTAACTAATAACTGACCTCTGCCTTTCGAAAATACAGAACTGCATATTCTCACTGATCGTTTGATCGTTAAGTCATACTGTTTGAGATTTTTTGCAATTTTCGAAGCATAAAAACAGTACTTATTGAACATGACAGTACAATTTTGCATATGATTTCACTCTAATAGAAACTTTTAGTTTCTTTTACAATATTATGCTCAACGAAACGTTGAGTTGAAATTAGGCAGGGGTTTCAAATCCTATGGCCAAACGCGTAGTTAGAGTTTGGAGAATTTGGTGGCCATTGTGGTATCGTAAACCTTGAGAAAGAATCGAGTTCTGGGAATAGAGAACCTGTTTTGGCATATGCCTCCCAATGTTGCTATGAGTTTTCTCTTGACATCTGAGTTAATTCCACCCATGGATACAATCTCAGCAAATGCAGCTGGCTCTTTGTTACCTCCAAATGATATGTCTACTGATCCTTTCAGTACAACCATCACGAACTGTCAAAACACGTACATAAATGTTAAAACGCAGAATATATAATATCAATCTTTTTCCTTGATTGGTTACTAATTCTGGCAATAAGTCGTACCAGAATCAGTCATTAGTATCGAAATAAGTTATCACTCTCTCAGAAGGTGGAATTAGTATGGGGATCATATGTTACCTCATTAGTATGGAATATTAGTATGGGGATCATATGTTACCTCATTTTGTCAAAAAAAAAATTCAAAAACATAAGATGACATTCAACATTGACTATGTCCTTCCGCCATCGAACACACCTCATCTTCACCTAAACCTCTGTAGCCTCCATCTCCTCCCATTCTAGAGCACACCTCAAAAAAATATTTTTCTTCGTATCAAACACGCTCTCATATTTTTGTCAGATTTGCTTAATCATGATACTATACCCCTATCACACACTTGATTTTACATATCATTATATTACAAGAGGTCCAAAATGTTATTTTTGTGGTTTAATTAGCATTAATATGTAATTAACACATATCATTATACATATAAAAAAAAAATCATGTGGGCATTTTTATTGTGGTCAATATACAGGTCAAAGTTTGGTTCCAATATAGTTGCATTGACCTCAAAAACTCCAAACTCCACATCAAACCAACTTAGGTATATTTTTTTTTGGATAAGAAAAGTGTGAACCATTTTCATCAAACTACTCATAGTTTATTTTTACACAACTTGATATTACAAAAAAATCAAAATTAAATATTCTTTATACGAAACATAGATATATATATGTAAAAATCATTCGAATTTCAATTTATATTTCAAACATATGATTATATGCTAGGTACTTTAGCAATAGATTACGGTAATCGAACTTATCAAGTTTAAATTCTGAATTATCCTTGATAATCAACCATAATAGCACTAATGAATAAAGAGAAAATACGTACGTTTTCGGGTTTTCCGATGATAGAAGAAACAGCTTTGGTAGCTTCAGAGAAGAAATCAGAAGTGTCAACTCCATCAAGATTAACGTTTGTTGAAAGATTAAAGCAAGGCATGATTTAATTTTTTTAATGTAAGAAAGAATTTTTAGTGAAGAAGAAAATGTGTTGCTTTTTTTTTAAAAAAAAGGCTGTGAAGCTTTTCTATTTATAGAATCCGAAATTAAAAATGAATAAATGAATAATCATGTGACCACAAACTTAATTATTCCATCCATCTCAAATTATTAATTGCAAAAGTAATTATCTAAAATAAATGAACTTTTATCAAACGGTTATTTGACAATATTACCCCTTTGCATAAACTTTTGTTAAAAATAAAGATAGTTGAAACTTTCAATCATCAAACTTTGAAAAATTCATTTATTTTAAAAAATTAATACATCTTTATTTTATTCATTCATTTGGAAAAATCTCTATATCTTTGAATTTTGAAAAATTCATTCATTTTGAACGATAAAAATAGGTGTTGAGATTTATTTATTTTGATAGGAGAGAGTATTTGTTTGTCATTTTAAAACTCCAAGATAAATTAGTTATAAGTCTTTTTCATTTTACCTTTATTTATTAATAATTGGTCTTGAATTAAACTATAAATACCTCAATTATGGAGTTAAGATGTTATTTTTACTTAATTTTTTTAAAATAAATATGACAGATAATCTTAGACGAAAATAATTTTTTTTTTCTCATCACCCTTTGGTACCTAATAATGTCTTTTATTTTGTCTCTTTCGGTCATGAGTTAATAAGTATAGAATTTTTATATTCTTTCTTTTTGGAAATATAAATGTAATTAGTACAAGTCTCGAAGAAAAAAAAAGTGTAACATTTTTTAATATTAATAACATAGTATTTATTAAAGTTTGCTCAACCGCTACCATGGAGACAAATTCAAAATCCACTTTATTTCATATGATCATATGATATCTTTTTGATAAACGAGTTTTATATTTTAGTATATGAAAATATTATAGTGGCATTGCCCCAATATGGACCCAAAAAGAAAAACATAAATAATAAAGAGTTGATTCGTTGCTTGATTACGATTTAGCTATTTATAATAAATTTTTTTAATTTCTTTTGTTTTACTTTAGTATTCTCTTTATTTCTAATTACTTGTTTAAAATTTATTTTTAAAAGTGAACAAGTAATTAGGTAAAATATGAATAAAAAATTTTAATTAATTAATTTTTTTATTAAGTCATTTTCCAAATTAAAGAAAAGGTGTTATTAATTATTATGATCTGATGATGTAGTGAATATGTTGTTTCGTTTGACTTTGCTTATAGCTAAATTGACGTGTGTAGAATGTACATTATTTATCCAACTCGAACATTACAACAAAGTTAATTAATTAATTAAATTTTTTCGTGTTACATCTTATTTGGATAATTTTTACTTGTTGTATATTTATATTGTATTGTTAGTTTAAATATAATATTTATTTTAATTATTACTTATATTTGCGATTTTATTTTGTTTAAATGTTAGATAACATAACGATTAACGATCGATTTAGTAAGATCCTATTGTTTTCTTAAATTTTTAACATTTTGTCTTTACTTATTATTTAACCAACATATTGTATTTCTTATCTACCATTTTATTATTCCTCTATAGAATACGATATATTATGAAATGATAGACATTCGAATTACTGTGTTTTGTTTTAGTCATTTATATTCGTGAGTATGTTGCTTTTGTTTAATTTGAGTTTTTCTAGCTACAGTCTACACATTAATGTGATCAAGTTGAAAATTTCAATTAATTAATTGTTTTTAAAAAAGTCATTTTCCTTAAAAATAAACAAACAAACAAACAAATGCTACACACTCAAATTATGATAGAATACATATCATGTAGTGAAAATATGTTGTTTTTGTGCAACTTTGTTTTATTGCTACATATTAATGTGTGTATATATATATATATATATATATATATAATTAAATTG